TAAATAAAGATATTAAAATTAAATTAATTTATTCATAAAAAAATCGATGAATCGTGAAAAGATTGAAAAAGTTTCGTATTTCTAGGAATAAAAAATCCATCAACTATTTTATAAATAAACTTAATTTTATAAGTTTAATTTTATTTTACAAGGTTATAATTCATTATTATATTATTTCTAAATACCGCAATTCTTTCTTACTTTTTAATTTATGAACTGATAAAGATTACAGAGTTTTCATCAGTTCATAAATTAAAAATTAAAAAAGAATTGCAATATGTAGAAATAGTATAATAATAAATTAACGTGTTGTGTTATGTTATTTTATGCTAATTTACTAAAAACAATATTTTTGATAAAAGATTTGACGTATCAACAAGATGACAACACAAGAGTATTACATAATTAGTATTTTGATAGATTTGCCAACATTCTGATTCTGATAGAGATCAACAATTTTATTTACGTGGCGAAATATCCATAATCACGTCCATCAATTTTGCCAGCTGTCCGACTTTGTTCCGACTCGCGAAATGCGTTGTCGAACACCAATCGGATTTGGCATCGGCGGTGGTACATGCGGTCGAGACTCATGTTCTCGCGGTGCGTATATGGCGTTCACGCACGATAGAAATTTTCCGATAGCCACGATCGGGAGGCGAGTTATGACCGCGGACGTGAGCAGCCGCTGGAAGTCGTGGAAAGGGCTGGGCAACGACGACGGTTACCGGCAATCTCCAATCATCCGTTCTGCGTTACATCACCGCGGGAGATCACCGACGGAGTTTACTGGAAAACAATAGAACGTCGATGCCGTAGCCATCCGAATGGATGTATTATCGACCACTTTCGGTCGTATCGCGACCGTACGCTCGCGAATGACATCAAGAATCCTCCGTCTCGGTAGGGAATGTCATGTGCCGCGGATATATTGCCACGAGCGAGATCTCCGTTTTTACACGTAACGACGTAAAGTACGGTCCAGCAACGAAGATTTTTAACTGAGAAACGAGGGTTTGCTCGCGAATAACGACCTAAATTACCAAATTTTACTCACGTCCGATTATTTCATATTAAAAAATATTAAACTGTATTTTTTGTAGTATTACGTGTAGAATTCATAAAATACAAGGTGTACACAATGAGAATCTCCGATATTTTGAAATAAAGAAAAATTAAAACAAGCGCATACATATTTCTAAGCATTTTTATCGTAAAGAACTAAAAAAGTTTCTTACAAAAATTACCTAATGTCTAAGTGAATACCTTTAGTGGCACGAAGGATATCAAGATGGTATTCCACTTCACGTCAAGTGCGCTGCAACATGCCGATAGTTATGGCCAATTGTGCCAATAACGGTCACAATTTAGTTGCTCAAAATATTTACGTTTGGCATCTTGATGAAATAAAATCATGTCCTTGACGTATCCTCGGAAAAAGAAATCCAAGAGAGCGATTCCTAAGGGAAGGAAAATAATTTATAGTAACATGTGGATATTTGATACACGGAGAGAACAATTTTGCTGAAATATCCAAAAATTTAGCAAAACCGTTCTCTCCGTGTATCAAATGTCCACATGTTACTAAAATTTTTCCCTCCCTTGAAAATCGTTCTCTTGGATTTCTTTTTCCCTCGCTTTTTCAGGGATATATCAGAGGATCAACTTGTACATTAGATCTGTATAATAAAATGTACCATCAATAGCAATCTCAATCGGATAATCTGCGATTCTAAAAGAAAGTGTGCCTCGATCGAGAAATTATTTCGCAGATTTGCATGTTATATCGCTTAGGAGTACCGAACTCCTGTACAATCTCGTTCCCCGCGTCGGTTATTAATGTTCGAGAGAGTATCGAGCCACCAAGATCCCACATGTACGAATGCTTTCACGCCGGTTACTTTTTAATAAGCCGCAATCGAATTTACGTAATACACGTTCCGCGCGTGAATGCTTTACAAAACGTTTGTCAGTTTATTTTCTTTACGGAGCGCATAACACCCATTAGGTGCGAAAGGATTAACCGGCTTTCCAATGGTGTAAATCACGGAATCCGGGAAGGCGATTTCGCGCGCGGAGAGATTCGCCGCTCGGCGAGGTATCGGTCACGACGGGCGAAGTGATACGCGTGTGAGGCAAGATGCGTAAACGCGCGATAAAAATATTTCCTACCGAGCTACACGCCGGTTAACCATGCGATCACGACCACGGCGACGCGAGCCCCCAGGCGAGGACTACGGGTTGCGACCCCAATCGTATTCGGATACCATTTTGCGCAGGTGTGCGTGATCATTAATCCAGAAATGGAAGTGAACGTTGCGAGTTACGGGCACTAAGCTGGTCGCGCGGTGCCGCGTTTCTTTCCCGCTCGGTCGCATCGTTTTCGCCACGTTCGTCGATCGCTTCTTTCCTTCTTATTTTTATACCCAATAAAAAAGAGGCGTGGCGCGTTACCCGCGCGAACGATTTCGCGGTTTGAACTATTAAGCGCGCTTGCCGTTGCTAAGCGTTGCGAGCGCTAAGGCGATTATTTTTTTGTTCGCGGTTCTCTTTATCGAGGCGATTACAGCCGCGTTTTAAGATTATTTCAAAGGATTTTTTCTTTTTTTTTTTCCTCAGTCGCGTTACAACTCCACTCGTAACCGCCAACTACATCCTCGCTCCATGTTGCTTTTTAATTGGGGAACCGCTGGTGAATACATCGACCTTGAGATCTCAAGGCGAATCGAACATCTATCTACGCACTTTGTTGGATTATTATTTCGTGTCGCGTAATTATGTTAGAGTGTGTTCAGAATAATTCCTCAGAATGGTTCATACATAGTCGATTATTCTTTTCATATAGGATATTCCGTATACATGTCACATTTTTTTCTTTCTATAGATATTTCAAAATTAAGAATAGTTATTAAAATTAAGGATAATTTAACGAAAGAAAATTTTTGATACTTAATTTTTAACATAATAATTTAACTAGAAAATAAATAAATAATTTTATATGCATTTTGTCACTCATTAAAATTTTATAATTTTTATTTAGTATCTCAGTTTTTTATAAAATTACAAATATTTTGTAAAAAACGTTATTTTTCTGTCTTTTCTTAGGAACAAGTGAAAGTACGACACTTCCGTATAGCGAAGTACCCTATACAAGAAAGTGATATATAGCAGGTATACTAATCAATTTTTCAAAATTGATAATAAGAATAAAAATGGCCATAATACGTAAAAATATTCACAAAGTCAAATTTTAAATCCGAATTTTTATCCGAGAGAAATTTCGAATTTTAATACGAATATACATTTAACTCTCATTACATTTATATCGATATTTAACAACGCGTAACAATATTTAAATTCTACGAAACGTAATCCAACAGCAATTAAACTTTACGAAATATAAACCATTAGTATTTAAATTCTGTGAAATATAATCCAACGTCGAAAAACGAAACCTATTGCGAGCAGTTGTAAACATTCGGGACAAATTCGTAATTTATTCACCAGTATTCGTGAGTGCTATCTCGCGTAATACGACAAGGAATTATCCATAAGTCATTCCTTAAACGTATACACCGATATGTGGCACACGAACCGACTATTGCATGGATTTTCCATAGAATGGTCGATCGACGATGGGCTCGTCTGCGTTATGTGATATGCGGAAAAAATTTCACATAATTAACCCATAAAGTAGCGCAATCGGGGATCTCTCTCTATGGTTTATCCATAAGCGAGCGGCGAGGCCACTCGGCGCTGCACATGCACCTGTGTACTAGTACGCCGCACCTGTACACGGCTAAGTAAAGGCGGAATTGTACGGTTCGTTTCTACTTTCGATAATTTCAAAAGAAGCGTGAGGAAAAGCTCCTCTAAATTTAATCTATAGTTTAGATATTTTTTAAAATCACAGATATTCGGACAGAAAAGTACTTGCGGCTATAATTATGTGTTATCATAAATGTAATTATTACTGTTATAGTAATTTTGGTAATTTTCAGTAATTAATGAAGCAATTCAGCAATATAAACGGTACGCTATTATATTAAGTCAATTGATAAAATTATACGAATTAAAAGATGATTTTTTTACACCTTTGATTTAAATTTATAGCAATTGCAATCATTTTTAGAACTCTATACATATATAATATATTATTATTACTAACATTATAGCAGTAATAATCACAATTATAGTAACATGTAATTATAGTTACAAAACTAGTGTACCTATTTGCATTGTGAAAATGAATAATGGATTTCAAACGGGAAGAAATCTGTAAAATTTACAGAATTACAATATGCATAATCCAGTTTCTGTAATACGAACAAAAACTCGTCTATTCACTTCTTTGGATTCATGCTAAGTAATTTCTAAAGATGAATCGTATAAGCAGACAATATGTGTCCGCATAAACGCACGCAGATGGGCGAAGCGACAACCTGATGGGTAGTTTCGTTTGCGTGCAATTCATAATGTAAAATTCCGCTGTCTCTCGCGGACGGTCAATGGAATTTTAAATGAGTCCTTCTCAAACGCCGAGTAAGTGTACCTTCCCACTTAGAAATTAATCAAGTGGACGTTAATCAGAAAAAAATCAGATGTTCTCTCTCTCGATCGCAAGCAAATTTTAAAGGAGAAAATTGTTTAAGTAATCATGAAATCAAAATCTTTCTATCTTTCTATTATAAACACACGGAATTTTCACAGAGCCAACAATAAACTCGCAATGGAGTTGACTCTAAACTCATCGGAGAATAGCAATTCATCGCCTACGATCTCTGACGCATCCCACACGTAACGCGGAAACAGCAATCACGACGTAGCCGTGAACGAGGGCGCAGTTTGAAGTATCCGTGCAAATGCAAGTCCGTGAACAAGTGCAAATGCATTCTTTCGAGCTGTGCCCCCGGGGGCCTGTACCGCGATCGTGTTGCTGTCGCAAGATTCGATTTAAATTCCAACCGTGTACGTATAGATGGCCGCACATAAATTCAAGTCTACTCACCGGTAGATACGCAGAGCGGCGGCGGCGGCGTGGGCGTCGTCGAGGGCGACGGTACTCTTCTTGCGACGGCGTTAATTATCGCCGCCGGGCTGTACCGTGGCACCTGCAACACCACAGGAGTTTTCACGGACAGATCCACTGGTTCCAGCTGCACCGGCGGTCCCGCCGCCTATAACAGAAGGAAACGTGCTCGTCAGTGGCTGGCAACTATCATTAACAGAAGCGTTTCTGCCCATTGGGCGTAGTACTTGTGATCTATCACCTTTTCAAGTGTACAAGAATGTTTAATTGTTTTCGAGCAAAGAAGAAATTGTTGATTTCGAAATGTAAAAAAAAGTGATACTAACTTAATAAAAGTTTAATTAAAACAAAAAATAGTTATTATTTTTTTATATTATTTGATTTATTTGTCTCGATTAACTCGGAAGTAGTCACTTGATTTTTTTTATGTAAACGATCACCTAGGATGTTTTTACACCCCAATTAAAATCACTATTGTTTACAACATACTGAATATTATTAACATATTGATTGTCTTCCGATTTATTAGTATTTGAGAATGTTACAGATATAGAGAGAGTCAATGTTTAGAAGCCAAACAAATATTAAACAGAATAAACATATTAAATAGTTTATTATAACATATATTTCCAAAAAATAAGGATTTTTATTCATACAACACTTTCTATTGCGAGTTTTCAATGGAATTGCATATTTAAAGGTTCGTAAAAATAATTATAAAGAAAAAGATGTTACGCAATATCTATTTAAAATAATACTTGCAAAATTCACATTTTTTTCGTCGCTGATGTGTAAAAATGCTCCAGGTAACTATTCCCGAATTGAACTCATGTTTTTTTTTAGCGCAGTGTAATAAAAAGGAAGTATAAATAGGCTTTATAAATCATAAGAAGTAAATATTGTATAATATCATATTATATTATAAAGTATATACTAAAATATAAGATAATATTTTATTTGTAAAATTATTGAATAATGCAAAGGCATTCTGCGATAATTTTTGAATGCGAAATAGGATTTTTTTTCAATTTTTCCAGCAAAAGTTATTATAATAATTAACTTATAGTTGTTAAGTCCTTATAATATTTAATACGAAGGTGTGTATTTCAATGTGACTGCGTGCTTAGAGTCAACGAAGATCTTAAAAGATCTCTGCCACGACTCGTCCGCGTAGGTGTCCTTCTCTTCTTTCTAGATATTAAGAAAAGGTGCGAAGCAATCTCGAGATTTTACATCACGAGTTAATTCACGTGTATTTCGTGGCGTTGTGGCGCTGGTGTAAATGAATATTAGTATAATACGCCGTTTACACAACGTGGTAATTTTGCGGATGTTACTCCGCTCGACTGTGCGGGGGAACTCGATTTGACGAGACTTAGATGTTGCGCAAGTATAATCTCACCCACGCAACATCGCCGATTGTCATACCTGAGATTGTCGGGTTAATACACCGATTTTCCGTAGATAGTAATTTTTCGAAAGTTGCGGTGTATAGATAGGCGAAACGGACGGACAAAGAGTCTAGCCTTCTGTACGTGACTTATTCAGCAGCGGTTTCAATAGCCGATGCTGATAGCAGGCCAAAGTGCTTAAGCGCAATTAGCATAACTAGCGTCGGTAGTGACGTGAACTAATCACGACCAGTTCCCACGAGAGATTCGACTCGGCCTAAGCTTGTCGATCGCTTGTATACCCTGCGCTATCTAATTTCCCTGTGACACACCTCCGATCGTCTAATGACCGACGGAATTAATAGTCAATCACGCAAAGGAACCAATTCTCACAGATTGCAATCAAATTGGACGCGAACGTCATTGGTATCGAAAACGGGACGTTGACAAAAACGGTACTTTCGGCCATTAATATCTGTCAGTAGAGAAGGATGTGCAGTATCGTAGAAGAAAGTATGACCAATTATGAGATATATCGCTTTTTCACTTCAAAAGTGGCACAACTCAAAAACGTGATTTTCGTGATTTTATTAACATGAATAAGTTATGTAAACATTATCCTACCAATCATCAAAACTAAAACTTAACTTCATTTAAAAAATCGTCAAAATCGTTACAAGTAAAAAAGAGTAGATTTTTAATAGTTATAAAAACTGTTAATACATAAACCATTATATTTGCTTTACTTCTGTCATGAGAATAACGCAATTATTATACACTATACGTCCCTTATATCTATCACTAAAACTAACTAAATATTGATGTGCAACGCGATGCAACACGACGCCTAACTCACCTAACTGTATCAAAAGAGAATCGTTTTGTAGCGGCCATGATCGATCGCTGTGTTCGCGTCGATATCGGATTTCCGAAACAATCGTGCAGAAGATCGGATTTACAGCACGGCGACCGGTTTCGCGCGCGATTGTTTCCCCGACAACAACCTCTCGATGAAACGTGGGAATGCTCGTGCACACATCGACAATGAAAAGCTCGCCTCTCTTCTGTCCGCGCCGTATACCCGTCATAGGATCAAACAAATGGTTCGCGTCGTGAAACACGATACGACGCTAATAGCGCAACTTCGAACGGCCGGTTACACCGGCGGTGAGTGTAACTGTAACACCACGGCGCGATTAACAAATTACACGTAACACACCGCGCGCGCGCAGAAAGCGACTCTTCGTTGCGCTCCCCGCAATAATTTATAACGGTGTTTACCGGTGCTTTTAGTAGAGCTATTCGAATCACTGTAAAACTGCAGCCAGCAAGAAAATATTGACGAATGAAAGGCTTCACAATTCATCATCGCAGAAACGCGTATTGTAAAATTAAAATATAAATAGTCCCGTTTATTTGCCAATATCACATTCAATTGTTTTTTTTTATTTTTATGGATTTTATGGATAGTAATATTTGAAATAATAAAACACTATTTGAAAGAATAATGTATAATTGAAAATTCGCCTGGGTCTTCAAGGTCCCGATTAAACCACGGAGGATTAAGATTATTAGTAGGGATGTATATATATAGTATATATATATATATTAGTAGGGATGTACGATCTCCAGATCAATTCGCCAAAAATCAATTTTTCTTGCAAAAAGATAGCTTCGAAATAAAACTTCTCCTTTTTTTTTTTAAAGAAGTGATTCTTTAAAAAAAGATTAGTTTAAAATCGCCAGTGCCGTTTGGAAAGATCGATCTTTTGAAGATCGAAACATCCCTAGTTAAGATTTTTGTACTTAAGACGACCTTAAATATAAGAAATGACTACGCCTGAATATCAGTCTTAATATTTCAAAACGCCGATAGCAAGCGTTTAAAGAAATATACCGTGTTGCACAAATGATGAAATAAAGTACGCCCGACGGCAAATACAAGACACGCCGACCGTTTCTTGTGACACACCGAAATCATGGTTCTGTCGATTCTGAGGACGAAGGCACTCGGCACGCAAAACACGGTCCCGTCCATCTCGGAATTTCAGGTTTCTGAAAATCGCGATACGTGCACTTGTTATTCATGAGCCGCGAGATGAGCGGTGACAACCACTACGACGAATGGAGAACAAGCGTATTTTTTGGGCGGGCAATAAAAGTCACGACATGCGTGTCACGCAGGCTAGAAACGCACGGAGCGGCGGCAGCTTGGTCGCCAATAAAATCTAATATATGCTATTAAATCTAACAAACGCATAATAATAATCCATCGTAAATCGCGATATCCGTTGGGCATTAAATAATTATAAACTAATAAACTTTAACGAGAGAGAATGCGCGTCTGGCCGTCTCGCGCGGAAGAGCAGAGCTCGGATCTTTCATGCGAGCCGCCCGATGCGCACAAAAAAGGATGAAACAAACGCAATCGACAGCCTCTCGATGGATGAAATCAAACGACGCATTAAATCGTCAATGACTAATGAAAGACCGAGTAAACTGTTCTTAATGATTCCAGTCTGCGCACCGCGAGAGACGTACATATGGTTTATATACGCACGTACGTGGGTATGTACGTTTACGTCTAAATACGTACATGAGCGTAATATAGACGGGCGTGCTTGTACCTATGTATTACGTATGTTCTCACAGTAGCGGCCCGTAATGAGAGTGTAACGTTCATCAATCATTCGTTGAGCAATCCCTGACCAGGCGAGTCCCGGCGGAATTAATTTAATTACTACAAATGTTTTGGGATAAAAATGGTCCGCGATCGATGCCGCGTCGGCAGCGCGTTGATTCGTAATGCTCGTCTACATAAATACTATAAATAGTATCAAATCAATGAATTTCGTGGATTTTTCTCTTGGAGACAGTAGAAGAAGGAAGAAGAAGAGAATAAACGAGAAAAAAGAATGAATAAATAAGAGAATTGTCACTTATTTCGTGCCCTAGAATGACTTCTTTTCGCAGGTTAACATTATAAATGCCAAATAAAACATGAAATAAAGAAAATACCATTACAGAAACATTTATACTGTATACAAAAATTAAGAAAAAGAAATAATAATAATAATATAAAAACTAACAGAAAATACAAATATAAGAAAAAGTCGGTTAATATAGTGTGTAGAAAGAAAGATGGAAGATAATGTAAATTGATGATGTAAAAATGTTTAATTACTCATAAAGAAATCTAGAAGAAAAACTGGTCAGTTTTTACTATCTTGAACTTACTGAACAGTAACTATCCAATAACTGACTAGAAATCTGATTAGGTAAAACTGATCAGCAGTAAGTTATAGAAACTAGCCAAGTCAAATGGATCAGTAAAATATTTAGTTTCTGGCTAGTAAAACTCAGAAAATTCTAATTAATAATTTGGTTAAACATGCTCAGGAAAAAGCAAATTGATAGTAATATTTAACAAATCAGATAAAATTTTTAATTTATACATCACGTTTAAGAAATTCCTAATTATTCCTAATTTGTTTCTGAATTATTACTCTTAACTCTTCGTCAGTTAAATTGAACTTCAAAGGCACAATCGATATTTTGATTGTAAATTCTGGTAGATTAATTTAAATTTGTAAAAGAGAAGTAAAATACACTCTGACTTCTATGATAGTAAAAATTCATTGTTGAATTAGCTTTCACAAATATGCAAGAATTTTTTCAGATTTTCATACAATTCGGAACAACAATATAAAAATCTGCTGAAGTTCAAAGACCATTGCTGAATGGAAGATGCAAGATT